TAATAAATTATTATTAAAATATATATTATTTATAATAAAATTTTAATTACACAAAAATATCTAAATTTTTTTTCACTCTACTATGCATATCATTCATATTTTAGTATGTGTTGGGTCAAATATGAATAATTATTAATTTATATGATTTTTATTAATTGGTAGAGTTCATTATTATAAATTTATTAATTGACTAGAAATTCAGTATACAGTGGAACCTCGGTATATGACCTTAATCTGTTCCTGATGTTTGGACTTATACCAAATTAGACATATACTGAACCAACCTTTCCCATAAGAAGTAATGTAAAAATGATTAATCCGTTCTCATGTAAAAAAATCGCTGGCTTTAAACACCTTGCTTTCCTGGCTAGTTCCTGCTTGATTTTTCATGAGATCAGCATGTATCTTTTTAGCTTTCTCGCAAATAATTGCTTCTGATACGCTGTTGCCAGCATACTGTTTTTCAGTTATCCAAAGCAAAAGCAATTTCTCAACATGATCTAATGTCTTCAATCTATGTTTAGAAATTGATTTAACCCCTTTCACAACATTAGCAAATTTAATGTCTTTATTTTTCACGATTGTTGATATTGTCATTCTCGGAATACAGTATGCAACAGTTAAATCTCAAACACACATGCCACCTTCGTATTTCTCAACAATCTCTTTTTTCAGTTTCATTGTGATTTTAGTCATTTTTTATTTTTCTGTTGCCTTTTTGCAATTCATGATTAATAAAAATAATAACATTTTACTTACAAATTAAAATAAAAAGAAATTTAACAAAGTTATAAACTGTGGCACTGCGAATGTCTAGTCTGGTCTAATACACCGATGGTTCTACTTGTTCATAGATGGCGTGTATAATTGAATTAAGTCATATACCGAACAAAGGTCATATACCGAGCAAAATTTTGTTTCGTCCAAACAGGACGTATTCTAAAGCAGACGTATACTGAGGTACCACTGTAGTTTCATTTAATGAAAGATTTTTTTTATCATTGACTACGTTGTTCCCCTTAAGTTATTTGCAATTAGACTGTTTGCTCAAATTTCTCATATATGTGACAAATAGTTAAACATGGAGGATTCTTGTACCACTCTTGTAACTTCTTTCTCAAAGATGACTGAAAGACTTCTATCCACACCGCAATCTTTCTTCTTTCTTCCAAATTTCATTGTGTAACCATATTTTGTCTGAAACAAAAATTTGGCCGAACAACTTCGTATTACTTTGCCCATTTGGTGGTAACTTGTTTTTAGCCTATCATCAAAAATTTGTCATGTATTAGATAATTTTAAATTAGTTTAATTTAAAATAAAAAAGTGATTTAATCTTTTAAAATAATGTAATTTTATGGCAATGACGTTTTACCACATTTTGCGAGTGTCTTTTAGTGTCTTTATATGAATACGGTCGCAATATTTTCACCGCGATATATGAATCCGCATGATATGAACCCGCGTTATAGGGGTCGACTGTATATGCAAAGGATTCTGACTCATAAATGTGGCATGCTTTTCAAATATCAAGAGTGCAAATGACACTCAGGAATATCTTCATTTTATGATATTGTGATTATTTAATTTGAACAAAAATTTCAGTTTATTATTGGATTTTACTTGATACTTTTTATTGACTTCAATTTGAAAATGGAATATTCAGTACTTTTAAATATATTTGAATAGATCTCTCTAACTTAATTATATTTGAATGACATTAATTTTAAAAAATACAAAATATATCTACCATGTTTTGGGAGAAAACAATAGAGAATTCAAATTTACATCATTGTTTCACTGTTATTTAATGTCATTTTCATGCTCTGGTTATTAAAAGTAAAATATTTTTTTTAGATACAGATTTAAATATGCACTGCTGTATATTATTGATATTATATGCTGTTTATAAATATGTTATATGTCCTCTACATATAATTAATAATAATTCTGCAATAATTCAGAATCATCCATCTTGTGAATGTGTTTGATATTATGATTTATCATTATATTTGCTTATCTGGATGTGCTTCATTTATAACAGGAACACAGTCTATGTAGAATGTATCAATCTACTTGTAGGTATGTTATTGCAAAGCAATGTTTTCATATTGTTGGAATAATTCTATGGAATTTAATATTACTGACACTTTGTGACACTTTATAAAATTATATCTAGAACATTATTCTTTATTTATTTTTATTGTTTTGAGGTAATTATACAAGAGTATGAACACCATCAGTTGTGTCTTGATTTTTATTCATTTGTGTTCAAAATTAATTGCCACTAAATTTAGCAATTTATAACATTTTAAATTAATGTTAAATATGTAAAGATGTGTTATAATCTAGCCATAATTTTAAAATCTGAAAATGAAGTGATTAAGAATGAGATTTTTATTAGTAATCCTCATATAGTGGCAGATATATAGCAGATTGTCTTTTACACATTTCAGATCTTTTTCAGATATACCAAATTTAGATTTAACAAATTGCTTCTAATTAGCTTAAATATGCTTACCTAGTACACCAGATGTATTTAATCATTGATAAATTTGCTAGCTTGATTTAATACTTAAATCAATAAATTCAATTAAATTATATACAGGTATTTAGATGCAAAATTTTGTTAATGTATCAATGCTCAGATTGCTAATTTATCTGCTACTATATTCTATAACAGAAGTCTCAAACTCAGAACTGATTGTTTACTATGTGTTTCAATTTTTTATTGTTGAATGTTTATTAAATTAATTTAATTTGTCCCAGAATATTATAGTTTAAAAACTGACATGTATATTGACTCTGTATTTTCATCAATATTATAAATCTAAAAATATATAAATACTTTTTAGGAGTTTGTTACTAATTATTATTGGAAATATTATCATCAGCTGTTGTTTCAAAATTGTTATTCTATTTAATGTATGGCTATTTAAAATTTAATATTTTGAATGGCCATTTTAAGCAATGAAGTTTTGAAAATGTTACCAATAATTAACAACAGATTCCTAAAAAATTGAGATGATAATGTAAATCTAAAAATATATAAATGACAATATTATAATTTATCATAATTCAAAATATTCAAATTACATTTAAAAATTATTATACTTTAACCTAATTAAATCTATCTATTTTTATATGGTGATGATGACTACTAATATATAAAAATAGAACATTTCAATTTTTATTGAATTAGTACTATAATGAAAGATTGTGCAAAATATGTTATCACTCAAATGGTAACTGCTTTTATTATTAATTTAATAAACTATATATTTTAATTTAAATTAATCCTCCTCTTATGCAAGTGTTTTTATCAAGATTTGAAAGTGCTTGCAGTAAATTATTTCAATGTGCTAATGCTTCATTCACAAATCAAAATGGAAAATTCTGCAAAGCAATTCTTGAAAGATACTGGTTTCCAGTTCTAATCTAGGAATAGTTTTTCAGGCTGTTCAGGACTGCTGCTTGAACACCTACAATTTTATTTTCCATTCTAATAACTACGTTGTTCCCCTTAAGTTATTTGCAATTAGACTGTTTGATCAAATTTCTCATATATGTGACAAATAGTTAAACATGGAGGATTCTTGTACCACTCTTGTAACTTCTTTCTCAAAGATGACTGAAAGACTTCTATCCACACCGCAATCTTTCTTCTTTCTTCCAAATTTCATTGTGTAACCATATTTTGTCTGAAACAAAAATTTGGCCGAACAACTTCGTATTACTTTGCCCATTTGGTGGTAACTTGTTTTTAGCCTATCATCAAAAATTTGTCATGTATTAGATAATTTTAAATTAGTTTAATTTAAAATAAAAAAGTGATTTAATCTTTTAAAATAATGTAATTTTATAAAATTTTTAATTTAAAATTTTTGATAATTTTTTCAGTTATCTGTAGAAACAGCATACACTGAAGATGAATTATATGAATTGTCACTAAGCAGAGAACCACGTAATCCAACATCAGTAAGAATCTTCCACTTAAAATAATTTCCTTTCTATATTAATTAATGATACTTAACTTTTAAATTTTTATTCAAATATTATTCTATCATTTTATTTTAATATTTTATTCAATTCAAATACGACTTTGTTAAATTGAATATTTATGAAATAAGGGAAAATAATCATTTAAAACAAATTTTAAAATTTTACAATATTTTTAAAGAAAACATTATAGAAATTCGATTATAGTTTAATAAAATTGTTTGACTCTTATTCTTCCTCTTATATAAAATTGAACGTAGGCATAATANTTCAAAAATTTTTTTTCCCATCATAAAAATTTTTTAAAAGAATAATCAAAAGAAAATATTTTCTATATAAGTTCTTTTTTATGTAAGTATAGGCAGTTTTTCACTTTTGGTCCACTTGCTCTTTTCTATCTAATTCTTTGATGCTATTAAATTGCATTTCCTACCAAATTTGGACTTTCATATATTTAATTTATCATGCAATGGCATTTTCCTCCAGTTTTGAATTTTGTAATAGGAAAATTATTTATGAAAATTAATTTTTATTGTCTATTTTCTGTGTTATCAATGGTTTTAACATTTTAAATAATGTTTTATGCATATTCACTGTGAAAAAACTAAAAATTTCCTTGCTTAAAAGATTTTTTAATGTTTCTATTTTAGCTCTGAGGGAATGAAACTCCCTTTATAGCATGCAACTCTATTGTTTGAGTTTTGAACATTTGATTTTTCTGCACATTTTTAGCAGAATATTACATCTAAAGGTTGGACTGTCTACATATGATTTTATGTTGTTATTCAGCATTTTGAACCAATAAAATTTAAACATTATTAAAAAGTAGTTTAGAATACAAAAAAACAATGACAAATTATTAAACTGTCAGTCTGGCAGTTAATTTGTTAAAGTATTGTTTTCTATCTGATTATGGATTTAAATCCTGCTTCAAGCATAAATATTCTTTTGAATTTTTAAAGTGAATTGCTTAGGAGTATAGCTACAAAATGTATATTATACTAATTAAATGAAAACTATTTAAAAATAAATAAAATAAATATTAATTCAAAATATTGAAGTATAAATTATATTCTAAAAATGAATTTTTAATTTTGAAAATAAAGATCTATGGCCTTATTTTAAAATATTAATAAACTTTTTAGTATAGTTAGATAGGTTAATTAATGATACACACAAAAGTTAAATACTTGTTTTAATAAGAAACATGCATGCAATAGAAATCTTTTTAGTTACATATATAAGATATATAATATTTTATAAGTGTTTATAATTATATTAAATATAATANGTCTAGTCTGGTCTAATACACCGATGGTTCTACTTGTTCATAGATGGCGTGTATAATTGAATTAAGTCATATACCGAACAAAGGTCATATACCGAGCAAAATTTTGTTTCGTCCAAACAGGACGTATTCTAAAGCAGACGTATACTGAGGTACCACTGTAGTTTCATTTAATGAAAGATTTTTTTTATCATTGATCAATGACATAATCAGTGATAAAAAGTCTCTTTTATTAATGAAACTATGTTAATTTTATTTAATTGGTTTATAAAAAAAATGGGAATAAAAATATAATTTTTAATTCTTATTTATAAAGTATTATTAAAACAAGGGTCATGTTATTACAGTTCAAAAATTTTTTTTCCCATCATAAAAATTTTTTAAAAGAATAATCAAAAGAAAATATTTTCTATATAAGTTCTTTTTTATGTAAGTATAGGCAGTTTTTCACTTTTGGTCCACTTGCTCTTTTCTATCTAATTCTTTGATGCTATTAAATTGCATTTCCTACCAAATTTGGACTTTCATATATTTAATTTATCATGCAATGGCATTTTCCTCCAGTTTTGAATTTTGTAATAGGAAAATTATTTATGAAAATTAATTTTTATTGTCTATTTTCTGTGTTATCAATGGTTTTAACATTTTAAATAATGTTTTATGCATATTCACTGTGAAAAAACTAAAAATTTCCTTGCTTAAAAGATTTTTTAATGTTTCTATTTTAGCTCTGAGGGAATGAAACTCCCTTTATAGCATGCAACTCTATTGTTTGAGTTTTGAACATTTGATTTTTCTGCACATTTTTAGCAGAATATTACATCTAAAGGTTGGACTGTCTACATATGATTTTATGTTGTTATTCAGCATTTTGAACCAATAAAATTTAAACATTATTAAAAAGTAGTTTAGAATACAAAAAAACAATGACAAATTATTAAACTGTCAGTCTGGCAGTTAATTTGTTAAAGTATTGTTTTCTATCTGATTATGGATTTAAATCCTGCTTCAAGCATAAATATTCTTTTGAATTTTTAAAGTGAATTGCTTAGGAGTATAGCTACAAAATGTATATTATACTAATTAAATGAAAACTATTTAAAAATAAATAAAATAAATATTAATTCAAAATATTGAAGTATAAATTATATTCTAAAAATGAATTTTTAATTTTGAAAATAAAGATCTATGGCCTTATTTTAAAATATTAATAAACTTTTTAGTATAGTTAGATAGGTTAATTAATGATACACACAAAAGTTAAATACTTGTTTTAATAAGAAACATGCATGCAATAGAAATCTTTTTAGTTACATATATAAGATATATAATATTTTATAAGTGTTTATAATTATATTAAATATAATATATATTAATACAAAGTTTTTTTAAACAAACTTTTAAATATTTAAATATTATTTTTTTAGCCACAGTCATCTCCCACAAAACCAATAATATTTGCTGAATGGGCAACTGGTTCCTGCATTCCTCCTGAACCAGAAGTTTTAGAAAAGCACATTGATTCTATAGTTGAGGTTAGTATAATTTTATAATTTAATTTTTTAATAAATAAAATTTACTATATTTATTTTCATCATAATTAAGATACTTCAACTGATTTAATTTATACTTATTATTTTTTTTTCTTTTTGAATTGAATTTATTTGATTTTATGAATGAAACTTAGATATTCATGAATCCTGTTGGCATTTCAAATAAATTTTGTTTTTGTGAGCATTAAAAGAATGTGGTTTTGCCAGAAGTCCATAAATTGTCTTCCAATATAAAGATACTATTTTTAACTCTAAGCTCTGAAAATTTCTTCTTTCTATGTACTGTACCTGGAAACAAAAATTTTTTACCCCTAAGGCTACGAGGAGAATTTGTACAGAAAAACTATTCAAACAACTTTTTCTTTGGCTGCTTTCATCTCTAACAGATTAAGCCAATTTTGGCTTAATCTGTTAGAAATTAGTCTCATGTTTAAAGAGTTAAACATTTAAACTATTAAATTATTAGTGCAAACTTAGCATAACTGTAACATTTTTCAGATTTTTTTTCTATGTGCTGTAACAGCTAAAATCCTTGTTTTCTTGATCAGAAATACTATTATCTTGTCTTTTTTTTCTGAACACTGAAACTGAGTTAATTGCTTATCATTGTATTCCTTATGATTGTAATGCAAGAGTTCTTTTCCTAAATATTTGGGATACTCAGCTGCTTATAGAAATCATTCTTAAAGCTTCAAATTTCAATATCTCTACTGCCTTAAATAATTTGTTACAAATATCTTTAGCAAAATTCATTTAATCACATGATACTGCATTACACAAATGAAGTAATATTATTGAATCGTTTTACATAATTGTAAAAGTGATTTCAATATTCAGAATCACTATATATTTATTAGTTTAAATGATTTTATTTAAATCATAGTTTATCTTTTGCTGATGATATAAAATTAATTCAAATAACTAAACAAGGAATAAATACATCTTTATTTTATATTCTTGCATTGCTTTTTTGTTGTTGCAGCAATTAGTTTTTAATACAGATATTAATCTCTGCTACTTAACTTTAAATTGAAATTTAAATATAAAGTAATTATTTATATTCTTTATTAATAGTTACAATTGTAATGCCATAAGCAAGAAATACTTCCCCAAACAAACAATTCCTTAAAACACACAGAATAAAAATAATTAAAAAAATTATTATGTAGTTAAGTTTCAAAAGAAATTATTAAAGAAAAATAAATTTTAATATTTAATATTATAAAAAATTGTTTGCAAAATTATTTTGCCAGCTGTTAACATTATAGAAAATAAAATTGATTAAATATTCTCCTTTTAAAAGTTAATATTGTATACTTAAAACCTGTTATGATATCCCCATCTGGGTTATAATTAAATCATGAGTTTAATTTATCATGGCAGTTTTGTTGTTAAAAATTTTTAAATGATGCTATAAATCTAATTACATACAATTAGAAAATTTTAATTTAGGTCATAATTATTAAACATTATATTTCCCATAAGTATTAAAAAAACATAGAAGTAATATTAGTTTATTAATATTTTATTTTTCAAATATGTTTTACTTTTCCTTGTGATTTCTTTAAAATGATTTTATATTTATCAGAATCATTTTATTTAGTTCTTAAAAAGTAGAATTTATGTAGCAAATCATATGTTCAAATATACAGTAGTTATTATAATAATATAATTTTATTTTAATGTAATAATTTACAATAATCCTGATAACACAATGCTTGCACATGCACACATGAATGTTTATGAATAATTTCATTAGATATTTTTTAGGTGTTTGTTATTTCAGATTTGCAGATTTTTGGTAAATTAAAATATTTTACTTTCTGAAACATTGTAATTTACTAATAACCAGTTTTATAATCGTAATATTTTTATAAACTAAAAAGTTGTTTCTTATGAGTAAAGCAAAAATAGAAGCAAACTAGAAAGCAACATGATTCAGATTTACTCAGATGTTTTTGTGGTGATAACTAGCCTTCAACTGGTCTTCATCTTCTTATTACTACTGATAACAAAGACGTAATGAGATACTGATAATCTGTCTTTCCAGATTTTTTAGAGTGCAGAAACAAGTATTGGCAGTTGAAATAACTTTCAAAAGTTTTCTATGAAGTTTTGTTATGAAGCTATTGTCACTTTTATATCCATTTTTTACTATTATTATTCAAGACAAAAGCTGAAAATGATATGATTATAATAGCTGATTATGATAAAGACAAAAATTTTGTCATAAATTTTTAGCAAGTTTTGGACAAGAAAACTTTCTGTATAACTGAGTTTTTTGGAATTCAAAACATGCTGATTATTTTAACAAAATTATATTTATGATAAAAATTGCCAGGGCAAATAAAATTTTTAAATTTATGATGCATGCAAATGGGCAAAGTGAGAAGCCACTTTTATGTATTGTCTGCTTTAAGAATTTTCTTAAATTTACAAAATAAATTAAATAATAATAGTAAAATTATAATAATAATTAAAAAATATGCAGAAATTGTCTAAAAATGAAAAGCTTCATTGCTGTTTGATATTTTATTTAACATCATAAAAACTGATTTTCACATGTCTTGAAAAGATTGATAAACTGTCATGTTGAGAGCAGGCCTAGTTGTGACTTCTGACACTATAATACTACTGTAGCAACTTGAGCTACTAAATTTGCTATTGGCCTATCAGTTAGACTGAAACATAACATCATTCCTGCTTAGTGCTTAACATACAGTTCATTTGAAAACTTTTTCCACATACCAATAAGCATTTTCATTTTACTATTTGTTGTCATTTACTTCTATATTATTCCTATAATTCCTGTTTTTTTTTCTTTTAATTGCTATATTATGCTTTTTAGGAATATTCTAGATTCCAAACACTATTCTGATATAGATTTGTAGAAAAATAATTTACATTAGAATGGACTTTAGCTGAAAAGCAATAAAAACAAATATTTAATTATTAAAATTATTGCAAATATACAGTAAGGAATAAATCAAAAATAAAAGAGCGATACTGAGGATTAAATATGCTTCTCAAAAACAAAAAATAAATGTAGCATTCAGTTTAATTAATACCTAAAAATTATTCTGAACCTTTTTAAAGAAATCAAAATAAAAAAGATAATTGTAATTTTCCAAATGTATGCACGTTGTTCTAAATATACATTTCTAATTAGACTGCAATTTGAAAAAATTGTAGATCTGAAAATTCTCGCTGTCATCCATCTGGTGTCTCTCCTTCCTTAATCTCTAGAACGGTGTTAGATAGATGATGAAAATTGAGATCAGATATGGAAAGCTTAGGGGCAGGAGGCCCTGGTTAACTATATACAAACTTCCATTTTGGCCAGAAGTCACATTATTTCAATTCAAAAATTTTCTCCCAAAATGGAGTTAGATACATGACCGTCACAACTTAATTGGTAACAGGAAAGTATGATATACAGGGGCAAGACACTACTAAACTTAAGTGCATTGTGATGTCACAATAAATAATTGTTCATTTGTTTATTTATAAATTTATTTTATAAATATAAATTGAGAAAATTTTTTAATGCCAAATAATAAAATAAAATGTAATACTTTGATATTGATTTTGAATTTATTTGAAAAAATATATTTTATAAAATTTCATTGATTTCAAGAAATTTATCAAAAATTTAAGAAAATTAATGGGGGGAAGTCAATAACATGACACCAATAAAACCCAAAAGTAAGATTGCTTAAACTCAGTCTTTGAATCAAAATGATACTGATGATAAATCTGAAATATTTCTTTTCATTTATATACTGAACTGATTAATGTCATTAATCATTTAAATGCCTTTCAATCATAAAAAAATTAAAGGTTGATCCTTAGTTTTGTAATTAGAGCTTGATATGCTTGTAAACATATTCAATCATTTTCTCGATATTCTGTATACTTATATACTTGTAGATGTCTTCAAATTATAACAAAAGAATATTTTTCCATAGGCAATATTTAAGAATTATGACATCGACAAAGATGGATACATATCACCTGACGAATACGATGCCATAGTTAGTAATTTTCCTTTCATTGATGCATTTTGCATTGTGGATGCTAATCAGTAAGCTTTTCTTAATATTTGATATTTGCTTTAGTATAATGATTAAAATATTAATTTTTTTACATTCTATAATGTAGAGATGGTATGATTAGTAAAGAAGAAATGAAAAAATATTTCCTTCAAGCAAATAGCCGTACGTTGCGTACCATTTTTCAGCATGACTTCCATGAAACAACTTATTTTAGGCCCACGTTTTGTGCTCGTTGTACAGGTTTGGTAAGTTTATTGTGTGTATTCAATAACACAAATACAATTGATTGAAATATGGCATTGTTTACGTTAATATTTGGAGAGAAAACTTGATATTAATTATAGATGTTTCTAATTTCATAAATTTGTTATTGAAGCAGTAAATCATTTAATTAATTGCAAATTAAAATACTTTAGTGCTTCAGTGTAGAATAAAAATGAAATTTTACCTTTAAATCAGCAAATTTCCAGTAAAAAGCGTATGAGTTTTGCTTTAAAGTACATCTGTATGTCAATTTATAATTCGATTTACAAATATTTTCCAAATTTTACTTATTGTTTTATTTGTAATACATAAAATTTTATTTTATTTTTGCAGTTTATATTAAAATCTTTTTATAAATGTAATATCTATTTCAAAAACATTTGATCTGATATAGTCTAATTTGAAATTTTAAATTTCCATATATTCAAACAGCTATAATTATATAACTATTCTCAAAGACATTACATTTGTATTTGTAACAATATTCAACCTCATGCTATTTAACATTTTAATTATTGAAGTAATTTTAATTGCTTCAGTAGATGATCAATTTGATCATCTACTGAATCACATTGCTAAATTTGTTATATAAACTATGTAAGAACTACTGTCTACTATCAAACCAAGCTACATAGTTAAGAGTAATCTCACAAGAGCACTCCCTCCATAAATGAGGTTTTAATCATAAATATATTTATTAATGAAATTGACAATTTTGGAAATAATAATTGACTGCTCAAATTTAAATGTCTTTATGTCCTTAATTTATTAATTTAAATTTAAAATGTCAACTAGGACTTATCTATTATTAGGATTTATTATACTGGATAACTGGTTCTGCAAATTAAGTAAACAAAGTCAGAAAAACAGTCTTTATTTATTGCCTGAACAGATACACGATATCTTTGGTTTTGGACCTGTTGGTCCCTCATCAGCAGGTTTACCATAGACATCCTCCAAAAAATTTCAATTAAAAAAAAATTTTTTTTTAATAATTTTGTAACAATTTTTTTAAATTGAAATTTTTTGGAAGATGTCTATGGTAAACCTGCTGATGAGGGACCAACAGGTCCAAAACCAAAGATATCATGTATTGTTCAGGTGATAAATAAAGACTGTGTTTTTTTCTGACTTTGTTTACTTAATTTGCAGAACCAGTTATCCAGTATAATAAGTCCTAATAATAGATAAGTCCTAGTTGACATTTTAAGTTTAATTTGATTCTTTGCAGACACACTAAGGTGACATATATCAACACTTGGCAACTTATTGACTATTTATTCAGTTAGCCAACTGAATAAATAGTCAATAAGTTGCCAAGTGTTGATATATGTCACCTTAGTGTGTCTGCAAAGAATCAGCTTAATAACAACAACACGGTTTCATCAGAATCAAAAAAAAAATTTTAAGTTTAAATTAATAATTGACTGCATTTTCATTGGCCTTCATTTTAATTCAACTTTTTACAATAATGAACTCTTGCTTTCTTGTATACAATGAATCAGTCCAATAAATTTTAGTTTTCATTATTTAAATACCAGCTAATTCTTTGCATACAAATAACTATTTATCACAATGGAAATCAGTGAGTTGTGTTCAACAGAGATTTCCAGAAATATAAACATTCACAAATTAAAGTATCAGAATTGTTACTATTAATTGTCTCGGTCAGTTTGCAGCAGATAAGTCTATTGACAGGAATTAATTAGTCCTCTAGTTGTTTATTAAAGGACTTAATAATTGATGGAATTATTTCATTTGGGTATATACATGAAGATGATCTGCCACTCTTAAAGCATGTGTTCCAATTAAATGTTTTTGATTTACTATATATTATATTTAATTTCCTCTGTGCTTAAAATCTGTGGATTTTTTTCCAGTTCATGCTTTTTCTCAAGATTTATTGTTTTGCTTTGCACGTTTCATTACACAAGAAGGAAACAATCAATAATTCATCTTGTTTGTTGGTCTGCTCCACTTACAATAATGGTAAAAGATAATATTTGTTTATTACACAATCTTTCAGTCATAATCAAATAACTCGTAAAAAGATTTTTTTTGGGCTTTATAAGATAGTTTTAATATTATGCATATTAAATATCAGTATTACATAAACAGTTTAATTTGACTGCTGTGGATTACACAATTTTGATTCATGTGAAACTTAATCTACCATGTAATTTGTGGATTAGGTACAATTTAATTGAAATTTATTTATTATTAGACTTTTTATATTGTATTGTAAGCACTGTTATCATTTCTTAGTAATGCTTTCTTAACCTTACATTGAAAAAGTCTGTCTTGTGTATAAATAAAACCAAAAGTCTGAAGAGTGAGTGTAAAACATTGAACTTCATAAAGTATGTAAATGCTTATGATTTAAATATATTAAAATGAAACAAATATTAATAATTGATATCAAATTGTTGTTAATTAGTAAATTTTATACAGAAGAGAAAAATAAACACTTCTTTTCTGCATGCTAAAATTTATTATAAAAAAATAAATAACAGAATGACCACTATTTAAATATGCAGAGAACATATTATATGCCAAAAAATAATTTTAATAATATAATTTTTGCTATGATTAATAGAACTATTATGCATTTTCAATGTATAGTATTTGTCCAATGAAAGAACTATTAATATTTAGATTTTTGTTTTTAGTTATGGGGATTAATTAAACAAGGTTATAAATGCAGAGGTAAGTTCATAATAATTAACTGCTTACATTGATGAACCAACATTTTCACTCAGTTAATTTGACAAAAATTATTTACTTCTTAAAGATTGTGGAATTAATGCTCATAAACATTGTAAAGACCTGGTTGTTATAGAATGTAGGAGGATAAGTTGTATTTCACCAAGAGCCAATTCTTTTGCTGGAACAGGTAGGAGTAAATTAAATTAAAATTAAGAAAATCAATTAAAATTCTGAACAAACAAACTCGTTTACTTCACGTAAGATGGTATAACGATAAAGAGCAGATTTCAACGCCACTGGAAGAAACAGCCCAAGACAAGCCAGTCCGAAGAATCTACTCTGAGTCCAAGAACGAGCACAGAATCTTGTAATTGTGAAAATGGTTTTATAACCATTGAAACTCCAACAGACGAAATTCCAGAATCCATTAATTATGAAGTCAACGAGGACGAAACAGCCGAGTTGATCGAAAATAACATATGTAAGACTATCAAGTAAGCAAATATAATATTCATTTTAATGTGACATTTGTAATAAAGCAAAATTGCACATTTCCATTCCAGCCATGTCGGTTTCCAGAGATCTGTCTATATCGTCGTCCAAGTGCAGATGTCGGAAAGATGTATATTCTCCGAAATCACCGATGGGGAATGGGCATGCGCAGTCAAATCTGGTGACGCAACCAAACTCCTGAGAAGATATATATCCATTGATAGTTTTTGTGCATTTTAGCTTCATCATTATTATTAAGTACATTTTAATCATAAACTAGTCATCAGCCGGGAAAAAAACAAAGAAAAAACACCCAACAGGTATTTCTTCTGCTAATATTGTTTGAGACATTTTTCACGTATTTAAAAAGCGAGATTAAAGTTTTAAGAAAAGTGTATGAAAGGTGCATTTTCCTTAAATTTAGTACAACGCATTTGGATTATAAAAACTAAAAACAAATTGGTTTTACGATAAAATGAAAAATCATTGTGTATATATTTGTTGCAAAAGTCCGTCGCTGCAACAAAATATCCAATAAAATATATTCGATACATACAGTATTATATACTGTATATGAGGTAGATAATATTTGTGATTTTCTTTTTCTATATATATATATGTATTTGTANAGCAGGACTAATGTATTTACGGAGGTAGTTTTCGAACTGCAATTTCCTGACGACGACGTACCTGAGAGTAAAACGTAGTAAAAAATTAAAAAAAACGTGAAAGTACACAACGCGCAGAATGTAACGAAAAGTAATCCACATCAACCAGAAACCGGTTTTTTCCATCACGGCCATGGCAAAGTCCGTGGGCAAATCGATGATCTGAAACCAGAATTTGGCCATCGCCTCCCAACTCAAAAATATAATAAAACTGTTTAAAGCTTTGACCACGTTTCTACTCATCTGAGTAGTCTCTTTGGGTGACGATTTGATGGCGGGTTTGACCACCTCTTCCAGTATTTCTCGACACAGATTAGTGGTTTCTTCGTAGGTGCCTTGGCATAGATTGAAGCGATCCTCCATGCCCAATAAGTATCCCACGCCTCTCCAGAAGTGTATTAGGCATTCCAGATCCTCCTTGGAACACGTGATGCCCACCGTCGTCGGATAGAGTACGGCCAAACCGATGAAGGCGAACTGAGCTATGGCCATGTCGTATTGAGAAACGTAAACCACGTCCTTCTTGGAAAGGGGGGTCACTTGTAAATCGTGTGTCGACAATAAGTTTGGGACGAAACGAAAATTGTGGTGCTATTTTCATCATATTATTTCCAGTTGATTACGGGTTGACGATGCTTTTTTGATATATTTCCTATTGCGATCAGAGAATAAAGAAATAACAACAATAACAGTAATAAGAGAAATTCATTTGTATATATTGACTTCCACTTTTAAGTTACGCAAGCGCATGTACTTAATCACTAAGGAATGCTGGTTATTTCATTTTGATGGTCATGCAGTGAAAAAAATTTTTGTACTAGGTTTACCGCGATTAAATAAATGTAATAAAATATAACGGAGCACGTACTATTTGTCTCAGTACAATATTTGTTATTTGGACGTTTGAATAAATGTTAACGCTCGAACAGAACATTTAAGATTCAAATAGTTTATTAATAGATTTATATATGAATATTTCGTAGCGGTTAAATGATAAGGAAATTTTTATTAAGCGTCGTGTACATTTTTTACTAGTAAACTGTGAAAACTGCATCAAAGTAGCGATGTGGCTGCAAATTTGAGGGCTGCAAGAATGAGCATAAAAAGCCAAGCGGCATCTTCGTGAACTGATTCGTCTGCACCTCAAAAAGCTACACCACTTAAGCGAAAACAAAAAATTCATATACATATAAAGCATTGCTTCATTTCATCTATTTTAATTTGTCAATGTTAATTCAAAAAAAAAAAGGAAACAATTTTAACTAAAATCTCTTGTAATCTTTCCTTATATAATCATATACAGTACATGATTGTTATATAATTATGTATTAATAATAATTCTTGCTATAAATTAGTTTTAATATATTAGGTTTTTCATTAGTATAACTGTANAAAAAATAAATAACAGAATGACCACTATTTAAATATGCAGAGAACATATTATATGCCAAAAAATAATTTTAATAATATAATTTTTGCTATGATTAATAGAACTATTATGCATTTTCAATGTATAGTATTTGTCCAATGAAAGAACTATTAATATTTAGATTTTTGTTTTTAGTTATGGGGATTAATTAAACAAGGTTATAAATGCAGAGGTAAGTTCATAATAATTAACTGCTTACATTGATGAACCAACATTTTCACTCAGTTAATTTGACAAAAATTATTTACTTCTTAAAGATTGTGGAATTAATGCTCATAAACATTGTAAAGACCTGGTTGTTATAGAATGTAGGAGGATAAGTTGTATTTCACCAAGAGCCAATTCTTTTGCTGGAACAGGTAGGAGTAAATTAAATTAAAATTAAGAAAATCAATTAAAATTCTGAACAAACAAACTCGTTTACTTCACGTAAGATGGTATAACGATAAAGAGCAGATTTCAACGCCACTGGAAGAAACAGCCCAAGACAAGCCAGTCCGAAGAATCTACTCTGAGTCCAAGAACGAGCACAGAATCTTGTAATTGTGAAAATGGTTTTATAACCATTGAAACTCCAACAGACGAAATTCCAGAATCCATTAATTATGAAGTCAACGAGGACGAAACAGCCGAGTTGATCGAAAATAACATATGTAAGACTATCAAGTAAGCAAATATAATATTCATTTTAATGTGACATTTGTAATAAAGCAAAATTGCACATTTCCATTCCAGCCATGTCGGTTTCCAGAGATCTGTCTATATCGTCGTCCAAGTGCAGATGTCGGAAAGATGTATATTCTCCGAAATCACCGATGGGGAATGGGCATGCGCAGTCAAATCTGGTGACGCAACCAAACTCCTGAGAAGATATATATCCATTGATAGTTTTTGTGCATTTTAGCTTCATCATTATTATTAAGTACATTTTAATCATAAACTAGTCATCAGCCGGGAAAAAAACAAAGAAAAAACACCCAACAGGTATTTCTTCTGCTAATATTGTTTGAGACATTTTTCACGTATTTAAAAAGCGAGATTAAAGTTTTAAGAAAAGTGTATGAAAGGTGCATTTTCCTTAAATTTAGTACAACGCATTTGGATTATAAAAACTAAAAACAAATTGGTTTTACGATAAAATGAAAAATCATTGTGTATATATTTGTTGCAAAAGTCCGTCGCTGCAACAAAATATCCAATAAAATATATTCGATACATACAGTATTATATACTGTATATGAGGTAGATAATATTTGTGATTTTCTTTTTCTATATATATATATTTGATATATGTCACCTTAGTGTGTCTGCAAAGAAACAGCTAAATAACAACAACACGGTTTCATCAGAATCAAACCCGAATTTAGTCGAGAGAAGACATCGTGCGGAATCCGACAGACCGGCTGATGGCCATTCCAAAAGATGCGTNAAAAAAAACCTTTATAATCCCGGATAATCGAGTTATTATCTTTTTACAGTTAATGTAAAATTTAACCGACGTAACGTTGATTAAATTTTCCAAGGAGAGCAAAGCTTGGAGACAAATAATTATATTAATACATTTTTCTTTAATTACTCAAGTTTTTCTAAGATAGACTTTCTAAGATAAGATTTCTAAGATTTTCTAAGAAAGGGTTGAGGGTTACATTACATGTCTCAATTTAGTTTTATTAATTCTCCAAATTAAAATCGTAAAATCGATTATAATTTGGGTAATTTGGGGGACTTTTACGATTATAATTGGGGGGATTTTTTTACTGATCCCAGAGGAGCAGGTGTTCCCGTTTGCCCCCTCGATTCTACCTCGTAAAGAACCGGACGAGGGGCATTTTTCTCGCATCGTAACTCTCGAGCGAGGAAATATCCGATTATTTACACGAGAAACCCTGTTTTTTAAGCGAGAAGGAATATCGAAATTCCACTCTTTTGCTGACTTTCTGAACCACGTGCTTACTAAACATGTGACCAGCGAACCGCCCGCCGCCAAGTGGAACAGGCGGAAATGACCTAGGTAACCAAACATAAGGTCAATGGCACAGTCATTCAGGAAATATGAATGAAACCGTTGTAGAAGACGGGGAAAAAATAAGTAACGTAGTGATCGTGATAAATTCGCTCGTCTCATTAAAAAAAAATAAAAAAAAATTCAAATAACTTTAAAAATTACGTAACAATTACCCGAAATCTACGTCATCAAGGAACGAAGATCGTCTGTTCGCATTTTAAAATTTACGTAATTTTAACGCGGGGATGACGATTCTCGCATTTTCTAAGATACAAATTACTAAATTACGAAGGTTTGCGGATTAATATGAAAGAAGAAGAAGAAAAACTCACCGAAAAATAGGAACAGGAATTAGGTAAGTAGTCGCAAGTTCGCATCCGGTTTGCACATCCGAGGACGACCTACAACTCTGATCGTCTGCTAGGGTCGCTGTTTGGTCACGTGACAGACATTTTTAAGCAATAATAAAAACTATTGCGTTAAAAAAGTCATAGTTTTTTAATTTAAAAAAATTAATAATATCTGAAACATAAATAATTTTAATTAATAAACCTTTAAATATATATATATATAAATGTGTGTGTGCATGTGTATGTGTAAAGGTATAATTTGAATTATTGTGATGTAAAAATGTATCATTCATTCTGTGATATAAGGAATTGATTTCAATAAATTAGAAAAAAATAAATAAATTAAAATTATTATTATTATTTTTTTAGTGAAATATAAAGATGAAAATCTTATCTCTTATTGTCCAAATTGTCTGCATTTTATAGAATGATTCTGGTTAATTAAAACTTGACTCTCCAAATTATTATGATTCTCTACCATTTAGAATATACAGAATGGCTTAATAAGTTTACAAAAAATATTAAAACGTACCCGAAATATTTAAGAAGCCAAATTAAACATTTTCTGGCTCTTTAAATGTTTTGAGCGTGATTCTCTATAATTTATTTTGTAAAGTTACCTGTCAAAATTCTCATTTACAAACCTAGAAAACAAATTTCTCATGAATTTATGTAAATATAAAATATAAATTTACACCACAAAATGAATCAATCATTAGATTTTTTTATTAAAATTAACTAGCACAATTAAAAAATTATATAAAATTAAATATACTTGTGAAATTGTGTGTATTATTTTAAAAATACACGGGCATAAAGAGAAACGTCTGATAAATTAATCCTGAAAACGTCATTGTTCTTTTGACTGGTGGGAAAGTTCGTCTTTTAAGTTCGTTAATTATTATTTTAATTAACGTGAAATTTAAAAATCTTATATTTTTACACCAAATTAATACAGATACGTTCCGCACAACGATCAAACTTGAGCAGGACTAATGTATTTACGGAGGTAGTTTTCGAACTGCAATTTCCTGACGACGACGTACCTGAGAGTAAAACGTAGTAAAAAATTAAAAAAAACGTGAAAGTACACAACGCGCAGAATGTAACGAAAAGTAATCCACATCAACCAGAAACCGGTTTTTTCCATCACGGCCATGGCAAAGTCCGTGGGCAAATCGATGATCTGAAACCAGAATTTGGCCATGGCCTCCCAACTCAAAAATATAATAAAACTGTTTAAAGCTTTGACCACGTTTCTACTCATCTGAGTAGTCTCTTTGGGTGACGATTTGATGGCGGGTTTGACCACCTCTTCCAGTATTTCTCGACACAGATTAGTGGTTTCTTCGTAGGTGCCTTGGCATAGATTGAAGCGATCCTCCATGCCCAATAAGTATCCCACGCCTCTCCAGAAGTGTATTAGGCATTCCAGATCCTCCTTGGAACACGTGATGCCCACCGTCGTCGGATAGAGTACGGCCAAACCGATGAAGGCGAACTGAGCTATGGCCATGTCGTATTGAGAAACGTAAACCACGTCCTTCTTGGAAAGGGGGCAGGTGCCGTGTTCTTTGGAATCGTTTAATCTGTCCGCCACTCTCTTATGCATTTTTCTAACCGTTATGATGGATTTGTGAGCCGGATCTTCGGGGTTCCACACGTCTCCCTCGTACCATCGTCTGATGTGCAACATGGTGCTGAGATAACGTTGAAATAAGCACATTAGATTAGCAGATTTTCCCGTTGCCAACAAAGGAGGTAGCATCGAAGGTAAATGAATGGTCAACATGAGCCCCGACAGATGAATGAAGAAGATGCTGCCAAATATATATAAGAAAATAAAACAAACGTATAAGAATTGCTCTTAAATAAATCAATTTTTAATGCCCGCGCCGGTGTGAATCGGCCGTGTGCGCTAAAACTATTTAAATTTATTTGTTTATAAATACAGTAATTTATATTTAACTAACTAGATATTAAGAATTTATATTTTATAATAAAATTAAAAATGTCAATGAAAAGTTAAGAAATATATATATATTTAACTTAATTATTATTTATTGTTCTAAATAATAATAATTTAACTACTTTAAGGCTAGAAACTGTAAAATAAAAGGACAATTACTTCCTAGATTATTACAATTACGAATTAGAAATATTGCAGCTTCCCTTCTATGACATGGGCGTCTGCGGAGGGGGCAAACGGGACACTTTCCCCCTCTCTGGGATCGAGTAAAAAATTCCAGATTATAATCGTGAGTGATCGAGATATGTAACCTTACACCTTCGATCGTGGGACGCTTTGTCTGTCTTTTTGTATTGATGCAACACACTTCTATAATCTACTTGTGAATAAGCCCGAAAAATTAAATATAAACTTATCTGTCTCCTAACTTTGCCCCCCGAAAAATTTTCTATTGACGCCCTTGGTCATTGGATAGGATATTCCTGGAAATTTGGATCCAAATGTAGTCGTCTCTGTAAGTGCTGTCCATAAATGACGTCCACACTGGAAGGGAGGGAGAGGGGATATTAACCTCTCATCACCCTGTCTAAAACCACTGAAAACTGGTAATCGGTGACGTGGAGTTTTCCGTTTTTCTTCTTCGCGCGTTTAACATCTAAAATAGGGGCCAGTTTCCCATAAAAGTCTTCCCGGGAGGCGCATCCCCCTTTTCTATGAGAGCGTTTCCGATTGGGTCATAGACCTCTTTTCGTTCGGAGAGCACTAACTCGTGAGATGCGAGGCACTCCCCTTTTGGCAGGTAGCCCACATGTTGCGTTACGTCGTACTATCGATTCCATCATTTACTCTCTCTCGGAAGAGTAAAGATTTCACACGTTAACAAATTACACATTTTTCCCAGAGCTTAGAAAAAGTCTATCATGCAAAGGGAGAAAACTTAACACCCCTTAGTGGTTCTCATCTTCCTATCCCTATAAAATTGTTGTTATTTTTATTAACAAAATATTTAATTCTGCTTTTTATTATTAATAAAGAATCATTCTACGCATTTCACTTATTCAAAAAAAACAAAAAAAATTGCTAAAGAGGTCCTCTCTACCCCCTGGCCTGCTAACCTGTTAATAGTTTTAAAAATCTTGACTAGAATAATGATTTTTACTTTCCTTATATAAATAAAGGAAAGTTTGGCCATCGGTCGAAAAATATCCCCTGGACTCGGGAACCTTGAAAACTGGAGAAATGAAAAAAAAAAAAAAAAGAAAAAAAATTGGGGTTTGCATGTTGATGTGTGTAGGAGGAGCATGATTTTGTTCATCCATTTTAAACCTTAATAACACCTGTGCCTTTTGTCGAATATTTCTAAAATTTTGCAGGGAGGTTTGTGTATTAGGGGCATTGATGCTATTAAATTTTGGTGATTAAAGATCTGAGTCGATATCGCGAGTGGGGACAGACTTAATGAAGATTTTATTCGTTTATTAGCATTTACAATTTTTTATGCCCTCAAAATTAAGCTTTTTGCCGTTTAATAATAATAATAATATAAAAACCTTTTAAAATAAAATCTCGTAACAGATGGCGCTATACACAACTTTCAACTCTTGCTGGGGAAGTTACGCAACTCGTTGCTGGATTTTTTCTTAAGAAATCGTATCTGTGTTATCTACGTAACAAAGGACTTTTAACTTAAGCTTAATTAAACAGTACGAGGTAATTCTTAATAATCTCCGCATTTAATGAAATCGAGCTTTAAACTAGAATTAGACCTAGTATTCGGGCGTTTAGAAGCCTCAATTCTTAGCATATTCCTAAAACTGCCACCGATTGAGCTCAATGCCAGACTGCTTTTAATGTGATTAGAAATTATAAAAAATTTTTAAAATATTCTAATATTTTTTATAATTTATTTTTCTTTGTTTTTACATTCATTTTAAAATTTCGAGGTTTGTTATATAGGGGCGGTCATCAAATGCTGTTGAGCAATTCCTGTAAAAATTGGATAAAAATTAGTCCAATCTGAATCGGTTTATCGTGATAAATACAATCACATTTTTTAATTTTTAATTAGAATTTTAATTAATGTTTAATACTTTTAAACAAGCGCTCACACAAAATTATAGATAAACCTTTACGTTTCTTGGTACCAATAAGTCCAAATATCCATATCTAGAAGTACTGTAGTTTACAGTTTATTATATATAAATTTAAGTAAAGCGCTAGATTTAACCTGATGACTCCATTAAAGTTGAATACCAGAAAATAATCTTTCATCTTAATGGATGATTTTTTTTTTCAGGAAGACCAAAACGAAATTTCAAATTATAGAAAAATCCTCTTAGCACAGTTTTTCGGGAATTATTTTTGTTTGTTTGTACGCTTCAGGAAACAAGTTAGTCGGTACACGCTCGCACTAATGACGTTTTTAAAAATGTACGTGTCTTCCGCAGGAAACAGTAGAGAGGTCTCCGAGACCTTTCTGTATGGATGATTATGGCCTTGTACAATGCGCGGATACACAAACTATGGGAACGCCTATGCTAGTAAAGTGCATTTGTAGTGTTTGCTACCCACGAATTTCACTGAAAAAGAAGGGGAAAAAAATGATGGAAACTTATTCATAATTTCTGGTCTAATGATTTTCGGTTTAAATTCAAAATGGCAATTCATAAAATTATACGTAATTCTATGTTTTTTAAAAACGAAATAAATTGAAATCATTAATTAAAGTTTTTAAATAAGTCCATCGAGAGCTTTCGTTATACGAAATTCAGGTTCGTAGTTTTTTACATTAGACTGCAAACGTAACTGTTGAAAGGCAACTATTCGAAGTTAATTTTCGCATATTTAAATGAAGTTATGGAAATAAATTGAACATTGGCCATGCTAATGATGCTTCAAATTCTATTCATTCGATTTAGTGAAAAAAAAACGAACGTATTGATAAACAATGCAGTGACAAGTTATAGCTTCACGGGGCCTAGGCAAATTTGAACTAGGTGTACTGTGTAGACTTCAGACATTTTTTTTTCACGAAATTTTTTGGAGGAAATATTCTCTTATAAAAGTTTGGTTTGGGACAGCCTGTTGGAGGCCCCAGGAAATTGCCTTATTTCCCAGAAGATAGCGCCACTAGCAATACACGATTTTAAAGACGAAGCACAATAATTGGAAAAAAGTTTCGAAGATATTTTGATGAATTTATCTTTTAATTACCTTTAAAAAATCGAATTTTGCTTCAAACACTAGTTTAAAAAAAATCTGTCACGTCGGTCAAAGATTAAATTTCTTAAGTTTTTGTTAATTAATTAATTCTCTATAAAATTAATAGTCAAATCAACGAATCCGGAACCGATACAATATATAATCCATTAGATTCCATTGACACGGATACTCTACACTATGCGACTTTTTTGTCTGGAACCCCTTGAGTAAAAATAACTCATTAAAATTCAGAATTTACATACGTTTATTTAAGCGTGGATGGATTGACCTATCGAGGATACCAGCAAGTTTCGGCTATGTGGGCCGCTTTACACACAGGAAAAAAAAAAAACACTCGAGCTACTATTTCCCTACATAGGCCTCTGTGTAAGGCAGGTGTATAATCTTTAAACAATTATTATTATGGTTATTTTTGCTATTTAATTAACCAGTTTGACCACTGTTGTCGTTCTAAAAAGAGACATAACAGTAACACGATTCGTTACTTTAACGAGGCAGATAGATGACAAAAGTAACATTCTAATTTGAAGTGTATTTTGACGTAGCGTTTCGCCATGAATTATTCAAATTATATCTAAGTTAATTGCTAAGTATAATCTCTAACATTATTTCTATCTGTTACTCTCTTTTTCTTAAACCGTAATCCTTTATAAAACGAAACAGTTTTACAAAATTGTTAGAATTATTAATATCGGAGGCTTATCCCAGACAGTTTATGGTGCTGCAGTTTCGTTACTTTAAAAATAAATATAATAACGTGTATCATAAGACCGCAATTGGGTCTAAAGTAATTCTAGGGTAACTGAGTAACATCCTTCAAAAAATGAAGAGGGGAAGGTACTTCGATCCCCCGAATCTGCCTCGAGCAGCACCCATATTCTTAAAATGCTGGAAACGCCAGTGACAGCTGATTCTACAGCAGAGTGGGCAAAAAGGGCATTTGCCTTAAAGCCAGTAAAATATTCCACAATTTAATTATAAAAGTGATTGAAATATATATTACCTTACATCCTCGACCATGGGTGTAAGGTTACAATTATGGTCGAGTGAGTAACCTTTGATGCAATACTATATTCTATAATTTACTTGTGACTAAAAATAATAATTAAATAATTAAATTGGTATAATTATTTGTCTCCAAGCTTTGACCCCCTGGAAAATTTCCTGCGAATGCCCATGGCCTAGACCAAATAGGCCTATACTAACCTTTCAAGTCTTTCACGCTTCATTCTTAATATTGACAGACTGACTGGATTAAGTTTTTTCACCATGCAAATAGCCTAATACTGTATTATAAAAAATAAGAAAGGTGGAGGAAAAATAGACGTTACCCGTAGAACTTGTTTTTCATAAGCTATCACGACTTAATTAAATCTCTTCCGGAGATAAATACACGGGAATCACTTCGAGATAGAGTAACATTCAGTCGAGGTATAGTAACATGGAAGCATGCAACGATGGCCAACTATCGTTCTATTTAATAACCCTAATAAAATTCTGGTTTGAACGAGTTAACATTTCGAGTATGCAGCGAGTAAAAGCGTCAGTTGGGTAATTTTATCTTCTAACTTAAAATTACGAAATTCGGGATATTTTTAACGTTTATCAACATTAATCTCTTGATATGTGACAATTTCATCTTCAGAAAATGTTTTTATATTTAAATATATACTTAAAATTTTGGTGATTATCATCTAGTTTTATCTTTTTTTATATCTTTTCCGGATTTTTCTTTTCCGCTACACTTAATTTAGGCGTACTGTACTGTTTGTGAAGCGGATTCGAAACCGATGAACCGAAAAATAAACAAATAGGTACACGGATTGTAAAATTTCAATTTTTGAATAAAATCTTCTTTCCAATTCTTCTATTCAAATGAATATTGTTAGTAACATATTGGAAAAATTAATAAATTTGCAATGTAATTTTTCAAAACTTTTACAAAATATTACATTTGAAATAAACTTTTAGACATTTCTTAATTCGAAAGACAAAAGAGATTTTCTCTATATTTTTTGACTTGTACCAAGTTAAACTTCTTTTATAATAAATATATTTCATTTATATTTTGCTTATAAACAAACAAACAAATAAACACAAACATGGTAAATTCATTAACAATATCACCATTAAGTTACACCTTTGAGGAGAAGAATTTGTTCAAAGAAGTAAAAATAACAAAATACAGTACAGTCGACCCCCTATAACGCGGGTTCATATAATGCAGATTTGTATATCGCGGCGAAAAAATTGCGACCGTATTCGTATAAAGACGCTAAAAGAGACTCGTAAAATGCGGTAAAACGTCATCGCTGACTCGTGTCGCGACAGGATTGGTCGAATCTGGACCAATAGTGGACGAGCAGTCGAACTACTTACATGCTACAGAGAGTTTAGGCAGGTAAGTTGAGTTTACTATCGTCTGTACAGTATATAAATTAGGTACTGTAAATCTAATACAGTACTGTAATTTTATACATTTCTTGTGGAAAAAAACATTTCTTATTCAACGGCCATAAAAATTATTTCTATTAATGATATCTCCAAAGTTCAGCGAATTTTTCGCAGAAAAATAACTTATCAGAAAACGCGCCCGCCGTTTTGCGCGCTGCTCCGCGAAGAAAACAAGCTTAAGCAATGGCGTCGTCGAACGGTGCACACTCGGTCCTACATAATCCTACAATTTTTTGTTTATAGCATATTTTATACGGATTATTCCCAAAAAATTATACGTGTTTTGGAAATCTTGAGTCAAATTAGTCTAGAATCGATTAATTTTATGGAAGAAAACCTTTCAAATCGTCGTAGTCCGTAAACTGCATACGTGCCGGGGGTTGTGATTGGCTCATATATTTAAGGATTCCTACAACGTGAAATTCTTATAAAGTGGAACGTATCTACCGCGTTATAAGAGGATCGACTGTATATTCAATTTTTTTCAGTCAAGGAAATTAATTATCGGACATATCTTATAAGCGTTTTGAAATCTTATAAAAAATTTAAACAGTTAAAATGATAAAATTAGTAGAAATATGGTTTTTGCTTAATAACTTAATTTTACATAGCTTAACTATAACTTTAATACTAAGTAGATTTATTTTTAATTAAAAATATTATGTTATAGGAAACTTGTATTAAAATTGTAATCAGAAAAGNGATTAAGTTTTTTCACCATGCAAATAGCCTAATACTGTATTATAAAAAATAAGAAAGGTGGAGGAAAAATAGACGTTACCCGTAGAACTTGTTTTTCATAAGCTATCACGACTTAATTAAATCTCTTCCGGAGATAAATACACGGGAATCACTTCGAGATAGAGTAACATTCAGTCGAGGTATAGTAACATGGAAGCATGCAACGATGGCCAACTATCGTTCTATTTAATAACCCTAATAAAATTCTGGTTTGAACGAGTTAACATTTCGAGTATGCAGCGAGTAAAAGCGTCAGTTGGGTAATTTTATCTTCTAACTTAAAATTACGAAATTCGGGATATTTTTAACGTTTATCAACATTAATCTCTTGATATGTGACAATTTCATCTTCAGAAAATGTTTTTATATTTAAATATATACTACGTATAATGGAATTTATCATCTAGTTTTATCTTTTTTTTTCGTTAGCAATGTTTTCTTTTTAATTTAACAAAAGTCTCATAAGACTTCTGTTAAATTATAAAAGAAAACATTAATTTATTCAATTAAGTCAATTTCAATTTTTGAATAAAATCTTCTTTCCAATTCTTCTATTCAAATGAATATTGTTAGTAACATATTGGAAAAATTAATAAATTTGCAATGTAATTTTTCAAAACTTTTACAAAATATTACATTTGAAATAAACTTTTAGACATTTCTTAATTCGAAAGACAAAAGAGATTTTCTCTATATTTTTTGACTTGTACCAAGTTAAACTTCTTTTATAATAAATATATTTCATTTATATTTTGCTTATAAACAAACAAACAAATAAACACAAACATGGTAAATTCATTAACAATATCACCATTAAGTTACACCTTTGAGGAGAAGAATTTGTTCAAAGAAGTAAAAATAACAAAATACAGTACAGTCGACCCCCTATAACGCGGGTTCATATAATGCAGATTTGTATATCGCGGCGAAAAAATTGCGACCGTATTCGTATAAAGACGCTAAAAGAGACTCGTAAAATGCGGTAAAACGTCATCGCTGACTCGTGTCGCGACAGGATTGGTCGAATCTGGACCAATAGTGGACGAGCAGTCGAACTACTTACATGCTACAGAGAGTTTAGGCAGGTAAGTTGAGTTTACTATCGTCTGTACAGTATATAAATTAGGTACTGTAAATCTAATACAGTACTGTAATTTTATACATTTCTTGTGGAAAAAAACATTTCTTATTCAACGGCCATAAAAATTATTTCTATTAATGATATCTCCAAAGTTCAGCGAATTTTTCGCAGAAAAATAACTTATCAGAAAACGCGCCCGCCGTTTTGCGCGCTGCTCCGCGAAGAAAACAAGCTTAAGCAATGGCGTCGTCGAACGGTGCACACTCGGTCCTACATAATCCTACAATTTTTTGTTTATAGCATATTTTATACGGATTATTCCCAAAAAATTATACGTGTTTTGGAAATCTTGAGTCAAATTAGTCTAGAATCGATTAATTTTATGGAAGAAAACCTTTCAAATCGTCGTAGTCCGTAAACTGCATACGTGCCGGGGGTTGTGATTGGCTCATATATTTAAGGATTCCTACAACGTGAAATTCTTATAAAGTGGAACGTATCTACCGCGTTATAAGAGGATCGACTGTATATTCAATTTTTTTCAGTCAAGGAAATTAATTATCGGACATATCTTATAAGCGTTTTGAAATCTTATAAAAAATTTAAACAGTTAAAATGATAAAATTAGTAGAAATATGGTTTTTGCTTAATAACTTAATTTTACATAGCTTAACTATAACTTTAATACTAAGTAGATTTATTTTTAATTAAAAATATTATGTTATAGGAAACTTGTATTAAAATTGTAATCAGAAAAGATTTTACCTGAAGAAATATTTTTTAAATATAACCCTTGCACGATAGAATCTTTCTTTATCCAACCAAGGCGGTGGCTGATCCGGAGGATTTTTACTGTCGCCAAAGATAAATGCTCCTTTTTTCAATAATTTTAACTGAGATTGATGATTCGGTTCTGGTTCCTTCATGACGAAAAATTAATTCTGTTTACGACTATCAATCTTCATATTGAAATCTAAAAATAAAATATTATTATTAGTATTATTATAAAAATGAAATAATTTCGGAATAAAATATTTCATATAAATAAAGGAAGTTCAATATGAGGAAATAAAAATTTAATGAAACCATTGTTTCGAAAATTTTCTGTTTTTCTTCTTCTTCTTCTTCTTTTTCTTTGAACATGATTATGTTTAAGCAACTCATTTATAACAAGTTTAAAATGAAGCTATTATAACAGAAATATAAAGAGGCTTTATAAATAAAACTAAGGCAATTTAAATAGCAAACCAACCAATGAACTGAAGTCGTGCATACTTATCATTCAACTAATCAATTTATTGCTATTATGGTTATGGAACTATATATATGTTAGCATTGTGACCTGATATACAAGCTTTATTTAGCTTTCTAACGAAAACTTTTGAAACTAAAATAACTTTTTAAAAATTTATGAAGCAAAGCACACATTTATTGAGTATTTTGTATCTTTGAAATGTTTATTTTAATCAAGTATCATAAATATGTTTCGAAATAAATATGAAAGCGTATTAATTAGAAGCTAAAGAGATTAAATTTATTAAAATGCACGAATATAGATCTTGAATATTGTCTCTAAGGCTGTTGATCGCGCCTTCCATCGATGGACCACGAGAGAATTTTGAGTGACTTGTAAGGTTTCAAAATTTGGCGATTTCCTTTTATATATATATATTTGCCTGCTGTTTACAATCTGATCAAATTTACATGATTTCACGTTAAAATAATATTTTATATTAACTATTTCTAGTACAATACTTTCATATTTTCTAATAATAACACATTATTTGTAATTATTGTAATAATTATTATCAAGGCTGGTGTTTTATTTTTTGGTTTATTATTTTAATTTTTAGTGATCGCATCTTACAATAGTCTATCCATTCCTGCTCTAAGCAATAGAAATTTCAGATTTCCTTAATAAAAAAAAAATAATTAAATAATTTCGTAAAAGTGAACTTTTGCTGTTGTTTTTAAATAGAAAAATTTAAAGCCGAGCATGTAATTAATACATCTTATACTTTAAATAATTTGTCTAATTTACAATATATTAAAAAAACAAATCTGATCAAAAAGAACATTTGATATATATAAAATTAATCCTTTCGTACACCACTTAAGTACTTTTGATCCTGCATGGAATCTGCGTGAATATTCATCAACAGGAACTTGTAATATTACTTTATAATGTAAAATTACGCCCACTAGGCAAATATTTCTTCGTGTTAATCCTACGCGGGGAGTAAACAACTAACAATATGAAAAGATCCGGCTTTTCAAATAAGATCAATTTTTCTCGTGTTTTAATAAACTTAATTTAATTAGAATCTATTTAATAAAAAAAATAATAAGTTTTATAATTCAAAAAATTTACTGTTTAAAACACTGGCCTTTTTCTAAGAACAGAAATTTCGGTGAAATCGAAGAAAATTTTATCTACAATAAAAAAAAAACCTTTATAATCCCGGATAATCGAGTTATTATCTTTTTACAGTTAATGTAAAATTTAACCGACGTAACGTTGATTAAATTTTCCAAGGAGAGCAAAGCTTGGAGACAAATAATTATATTAATACATTTTTCTTTAATTACTCAAGTTTTTCTAAGATAGACTTTCTAAGATAAGATTTCTAAGATTTTCTAAGAAAGGGTTGAGGGTTACATTACATGTCTCAATTTAGTTTTATTAATTCTCCAAATTAAAATCGTAAAATCGATTATAATTTGGGTAATTTGGGGGACTTTTACGATTATAATTGGGGGGATTTTTTTACTGATCCCAGAGGAGCAGGTGTTCCCGTTTGCCCCCTCGATTCTACCTCGTAAAGAACCGGACGAGGGGCATTTTTCTCGCATCGTAACTCTCGAGCGAGGAAATATCCGATTATTTACACGAGAAACCCTGTTTTTTAAGCGAGAAGGAATATCGAAATTCCACTCTTTTGCTGACTTTCTGAACCACGTGCTTACTAAACATGTGACCAGCGAACCGCCCGCCGCCAAGTGGAACAGGCGGAAATGACCTAGGTAACCAAACATAAGGTCAATGGCACAGTCATTCAGGAAATATGAATGAAACCGTTGTAGAAGACGGGGAAAAAATAAGTAACGTAGTGATCGTGATAAATTCGCTCGTCTCATTAAAAAAAAATAAAAAAAAATTCAAATAACTTTAAAAATTACGTAACAATTACCCGAAATCTACGTCATCAAGGAACGAAGATCGTCTGTTCGCATTTTAAAATTTACGTAATTTTAACGCGGGGATGACGATTCTCGCATTTTCTAAGATACAAATTACTAAATTACGAAGGTTTGCGGATTAATATGAAAGAAGAAGAAGAAAAACTCACCGAAAAATAGGAACAGGAATTAGGTAAGTAGTCGCAAGTTCGCATCCGGTTTGCACATCCGAGGACGACCTACAACTCTGATCGTCTGCTAGGGTCGCTGTTTGGTCACGTGACAGACATTTTTAAGCAATAATAAAAACTATTGCGTTAAAAAAGTCATAGTTTTTTAATTTAAAAAAATTAATAATATCTGAAACATAAATAATTTTAATTAATAAACCTTTAAATATATATATATTAAAAAAATTAGGAAAAAGAAAAATTTGTAGAGGCGCTGTTTACTTTTCACTATTTTAAAAATTCCCGCCAAATTCAAAAAGTATGTATATATATAAATTACTTAATAACGTAAATTAATATTTATATTCGCATTATAAAGCGTTAAATAATTATATAGGCATTTAAAGCATCACCGTTATTTATTTATTTATGTATTTTTTTTTCTTTTTTTTTTATTAACGCGCCGAGTCCGATGCTTAATGGCATTCTTCAATTATGATCAATGGATAATTGCAAGGTTGGATAAACGTTGGAAACAGGTTAGTAATAATATTATATATATATATACATATATATACATGTATAAAAAGTTTAGAAATATCTTCATGGCTTTTCATGGATCACTGAACTCAACCTGCTTTTATATTGACGTTTGATAAAATGGGTCTTTGAGATCTTCGATATTCGTTCAATGACGCGCTTTTCGTATATAAAATTTTATGTTTTTAAAGATTAAATTTAAAAATATCCTTCCCGATTTATTACATAAAATTTTATAAAGATCTTTCCATCTATTAAAATTTTCTTAGCAATATATATATATTTTTTTTCGGGCATTAAGGTGTTACTTTTTAAAATAAATAACTGTGGAATAAAAACCCGAAAGTGTTTATAAATTATAAATATTTTTAATAGAGAGAAATTTTTAAAAAGATTAATTTAATTTAAATTTTGAAAAGTAATAATAAAAAATAAAATTTTTACCTGTTTTAAAATACGTAGCGATGGCAGACAGATGGCACTGCTAAGAAATGGAGAAACTTCGTTAATTGTTAATTTTCTTGGTCGAAAATATGAAGTTTTGTTAATATATTATCGTCAGGTATTATTCCAAGAGATTAACAAGAGGAGTTTTTAAATGGTTCGAATTGAACAAGCAATGTCAAAGCAACTGGCAATTTCAACCGTCACGTCTCAAATGCCGTTACCCCCAGTGGCCCAGTTTCGTCCGAGCGAGACTTCTGATTGGTCGACGTATAAAGGCGCCATCTGACAGAACGGAAAGGTAATTTCTTTCATTTTTTGACAAGACGTGACGTCATTCATTTTCCTGCAAATTTTCTTTTGTTTTGAACTCATCCTTATAAAAAGATTTTAATCGAAATTATCTTTCGCTTTTCTTAATAATAATAATATTGTTATTATTAATTAATTATTACAGTTAATATTATTTAATTTTTAAAATGCATTCGCTATTGTTATTTCTCTTGCAAGCTTTAAAAAAAATTTAAAATGAATAAAATAAATTTTAAAAAAGGAATAGTTTCAGGAAATAAGGAAATGAAAATTCTTCTTGAGGCCCTTCTGTTTTATGAAAGGATAAAAATTCTGTAGCGAGGTACCAGATGGAACTTAAAATATTTATTTTATGTCGGGGATTTTTTGCGGTTTTAAGTGTTTAGAAGTGCACATTCTTTCAGTTTAAGTGTTCAAACACGACCCGGCTTTAAACTGTTAAATTTATTAAGTAAATTATCTAAAAATAGGGATGCCAAGAGGGGGCAGCGGGTATAATGATTTATTAGATTTTTAGGCCCTCTGGACTTGAGAGAGAAAGGCAGCAGGTACAACTTATCTGGGCAAAACTGGGCCTCAGTTCAACATTCTCTCGGGCCCTTTACTCTACCGCATACCACAGAAATAATTTCACAATATTTAGGTAACAGATATCTGTTTTATTTTATTTAAAACTTGTTAAAATTATGAAAATTTTGTGAAATTTACGAATATTGTAGACTCAGGGCGCATAAAAGTTATTAATTTATGCAAATTACGACGCTTCGACACACTTTCACAAATTGCTGACTTTCTTCCAAAAATCGCCGAGTTGTTTGTAAAAACTGGTTAACTAACTTTTGGGCTACTGTATACATATGTAGCAAATATTGCAAGGTGTAATTACATAGTTACATTACGGGTCTACAATATAAAATATTTTTACAGTTGTAATTCTCTATATGTGTTATATCTATCAAAAATATACTTTGAATATTTATAAATTTTTGTCTATATAAAAGTTGTTTATACAGTTTATTTTTTAAGGAAAGTTTACCTGTCCCTGTTTAAAATGTTTTGCAAAAAAATTTTCCACTAAAATACAAAATACGAGGTATATGCATAGAATTATATATATATATAGGTTTACAGTGTGATTTTACAACCTACAGATAAAATTGCATACAAAACCTGTCTAAAACGTAACCTGAATAAAACGGAAACCTGCCAAATAAATTTCGTACCGTTCGATTTTAGTTTACATAGGTTTTACTGTATTTATTTATCTATTTTATAGATGCACTTCCACATTTATTAAAATAAAATTCCTTATTTAGAATCCTCCATTTTTTTATAATAGACGATTCTATACAATTTTGTTATGACACCGTAATTTTTACTTTGTTTAAATTACTTTGTTAAAATATTTTTACTTTGTTTAAATTATTTTGTTAAAGTAATATTACATAAAATTATTTTTATAGATATAATTTTTTATTTAAACATTTAATCTTTTATATCAGATACATAACACATAGCATATCTTTTATCTGCAAGATAGAATTTTACCAATAAAAAAATCATTCCTATACTTTTTATAGACACAGATGTATATCATATAAAATACACATTTCAAGACATTATTTTGTTGAAATTTGAAATTTTATAGAAAAATTGGAGATTGAAAACATAAAATGGAAATTTAATTAAATTGAAAATTGAAAAAATAAAATGGAAATTTTATAGAAAATAAACTTAAATAAAAAATAAAATTTAGACCCTTTTTTTTGTTTTAAAATCACTGTTTTGTCACTTTAAATTTTCCTTTTTGCATTAATTTTATATTTAAAAAAAACGACTCAATTCTACTTTTTCACAACTCAATTAACATTACAAAAAAACGGTTCATCTAATAATAGAAATATCATCAGCTAGACGAAGAGAAACTAGTCCTCTGCAAATTTCCCTTGTTTAGTTAATGTCCTGATTTTTTTGTATTGAGGGTAAACGACCGAATTTCAGACAAACGTACTTTCACATTAATATTAATTATTATTGTGTTTTTTTCTAAGTAAAAGCATAAAATCGCGTTAAAAGATAATATAATCTTTTTAAAAAAAACATTTAAAATTTGTTTATTTATTCACGTTTTTCTTCAAGAACACCGTACCAGTTTGGGTACGGGTGACCGAATACAATAAAACCTGCCAAACCGGAAAAATATTCGGTACCGTACAATTCCGGTTTACACAGGTTTTATTATATTTTAAAAAGGAAAGAATTTTAAGTTTAAATTTCGAAAAGGCATTACTTCGATTGGATATGTAGCCTGTGTACTTGGTGTGTATACAATAAAACCTGGTAAAGCAGAATCGCACGGTGCCGACTATTTTTTCGGTCTAGCAGGTTTCCGTTTTGGACAGGTTTTACTGTATACATAAAGTTTAAGATATTCTTTAGCCGTAAATTGCTTACAATGTCACTATTGAGGAACAATGTCAATTGTGAGAACTAGGACAAGATTTTACAGAGGTTTTCCTTTCATTGGTCTCATCTTATCTAACGTATCTTATTAGTCTGGTAACATCTATTTTGACCTTTAAGGTAAATCTAGTTCCCTTTCTTAACTCATTACACATTTCTCTGCTAATTTAGGAAAATTTGCAGGTGGTAAATGGAACGAAATTATATTTTATATATATTCCAACGGCCTAATTTCTCTCTTGAATTATTTCAACAATTTATGATTATTTTATTATAAAATTAATTTAGAAAAAAAATCTGGAAATCAGAGAAGAAACTTCCTACTGTTTCTGTTTTGTTTGTGACCTAATTTGATAGACAAAAGTTTAATCAACTTCTACCGATTTTAATACCCTATTTTTACTTTCTGTAATAATAAATATTACAAGGCAGCCATTGTTGTTGATATATTTCTACATTTAGCCTTATTGTATTTGCTGTATCCATCGAATTTTATAAATTATAACGTCGGATAAATCGCTTAAGCAATCACCAAGTGACAATTTTCAAATTAAGATATGTTTTGTCGATACACATTATCAATTTTTGATCCTAGTTATGTCAAAATGTTTGATAATTTTGTGATATTTAGAGCATATAAGAGATTAGAGACCAAGTATATAACCAGTGCAGAAAAATTATAGCTTATGAAAGTTTACTGACCCATCTTTAAATATCACGTGTGAACCTACTTTCCCCTAGAAAATCTTTAGAAATGAGAACGAAAACCTTTCATCAGGTCAAAAGCAGTATCCTACCATTTAAGAATATTTACCAGCCTAAGGGTTGTTTATCTTATAAAATTAGAAAATGAGTTCAGTTATATTGTAAAAATCTTTTAAACTATACTATTTTAATATCAATAAAAGTGACTATAAGTATAACAGTTAAAACCTGTCCAAGACGGAACCCGAATAAAACGAAAACTTATCTAAGCGGAAAAAATTCTTCGGAACGAAACGAATTTTTTATGTTTAAAAAAAACTATTCAAAACGGAAACTTGCCAATGTGCCATTTCGGCTTACACAGGTCTTAGTGTGTATATATTATTTTGTTAAATATATTTATGTTACGTACTTAGGTTAAAATTAAATGAACTGATATAGATTTTGCTTAATGGTGTATAACTGATAATGATCTGATATTTGTTATTTTTTATTTCCTGATTGATTATGGAGGAAATAAAAATATAATAAATATTTTTCTTCTCAGCTATGCTTTATTTAGACTATGAAGAGAAAATTTTCTTTAGAATTTACTTTAAGATTGTTTTAGATCGTTCACTCGTTCACTAGGTCAGATTCTGTACTTCTTTTATATAATTTTCCTCTATGTTGTTGTAAAAGACTTTGAGAACATGTAAATAACATTATTCTCACGTATAATTTCTTATTATTACATTAATTATTGACCATAATTTCGTGAGCTTATTTTTAATTACGCTCTTCTAATTGAATTAAATACCCAACAGTAATTGGCTTTAAAATTTAGTTTATAATAAAGTTGTAAATAATATTTAATACAAAGATTCCAGGGGTGTTTTATATTCTCCCCAGAATAAGATCGATTTATATTTTTTCTCTTGAACATAAAATATAAATGGCCGATCGGCACAAATCGTTGTCAATAACGAGCGGCTACCAATAATGGAGGTGCTATGGGCACTTCCTTCTGTTGCTTCTTCATCGACTTCAATATGAACTCCTTGAATGATTTTTTGTATGTAGAAATCTTCCTTAGAAGATATTCCTTTCATGTTCGATGTTTCGGAATTAAACAAGGCTTCAATGCCCATAGATTGGAGCTTTTCCTCTAACAATATATTAGTATTAATCTATGGTATAAAATAAGTAAATTATGGAATTTTAATAGCACAGTACAATACGATATTATAAAATTTTAAAGTTTTTATTTTTATAAAATATTATTAATTATTAATAAAAAATATTAATAATTTTTCTTAAATCCTTTAAAGATGGCTTCTCTGTAAAGAAGCGAAGTCTAGCAGAAAATTTAATATTTAGTTTTCATTCTTGCTTAATTTTAATGTTTTAAAGTAATATTACACTCAACAATAAATTATTGTACTTTAACTCACCTGAAATTTCGGTAAGCAAATCTCCACATTATGATTTTTCATTTTGGAATGAAGATGTAACAAAAGTTCGCCTTCATTTTTGATCAATGTCTCCTTCAAATCTTGTAAATTTGAAGGTATCAAAATTACCATAACTATGTCAGGTACTTCATAAGGCAATTCTAGGGCAAATAATTTATATTCTGGAAAATATCCATGTTTAAAGTGTCCACTGCTAAACATCATTTTAACACTTATTTCCTTCCCATTTTCTAAAAAGAACTTTCCTTCTTGTGTAAGATTTTTATTAAAAGGCACCTTCCATCTTCCTCGAAATGTCATTAAACTAGTAATTACTCCTATAGTAGCAGAATTTATAACACCAGATCTGATTAATTCCTTAATCAAGCTTCGGCTTTTTCCTATTGCCCATTTATTAATTATACTCAGAGTTTCGTTTATCTTCTTAAAGTCGACATTAATTACATCCGCATCATAACTTCTTAAGATTTCTTTATAATTTTGGCTTATTTCTAAACCATTCTCGATAAACATCTGATTAGCAATGTTTACCTTTTCCATTCCTCCATTCAGATGCAATAAAATATCATTAAAGTAAGATCTGAGGTTAGATGTATCTATGGAACTCCAATTCATGGCCTGAATAATTTCCAAAGCTGTTTCATCTCGAGAACCTTCCAGTAAAAGAGACACAATTAAAGATGTTAAGAAGGGCGAGCAAACATAATTATCGTGGGAATTACTGAATAATTTTGTTATCAGACGGAAAGTAGCTTTTTCCATTTGTTTCACCGTCGAAAATTCAGCACGAGATGGAAAATTTTCGAGCCATTCGGGTAATTTTACGATTTTTATGTGCATCATCGATCCAAATATAAATAGAACAAATATCAAAATGAATATTATAATTAACATGTAGATAACGTATCCTTTTATCTTGTTTCCGACATTCTTCTTTTCCTTCTTAGCGAAGACGACATCTAACTCCTTGCCACATAAATTCGATTCTTTAATTTGATTTTCGGAAATCATTCTTACCTCTTTTTACTCTTTTTACCTTTATTCGTTGTGTTTAAAATATCATGTGATCATCCGTATACGTAAGGAGACAGGTGTTTTAGTACCGAATGGCAGCTGTTTACTATTAATTAATTGCAAGCGACAAAGCTGTAACACGTTTTATAAAAATAAATCTAAAACTTTTATTAATGTAAACAATTTATTTTAAATATTAGAGCTTTATTATATCGTAAAATATCCTAAAACAATATTTTTCCTATTATTTTTAATGGCATTTCATATAATTGCAAGTTGTACTGTACATGCAAATAAATTTCGTTGTTTTCTTTCTGTTTTTCCCTTTAAGTTCTTTTTTTCCCTTTGCATTCGAATGTTTTGAAGAGGTATCATCAATTAACCACTTTTAATATGTCTAGCAGACTGTGACAAAATCACTTTTGATAATTATATATTTGAAACGTTCGCTATAGGAAAAAAGCGCTATCGAATTTTCTTAAAGTAATTTTAGGACAGTGACATTATTTGTATGTATTCTTTTCCTCGTTGATGTTTTCAACGCGAAACGATTTCAATTTTTCAAACAAAAGCTTTAAAAAACTTTAAAGCATTTTATAACAGGAAAATTCACTAAAAATCGGGATAAACGTAGCGGCCGATTCAAAATGGCGGCCATTTCAAATACCCACAATTCACAACAGAAAATAATGAAAATTTTGTATAAAATTAATAACGTAATTAACATTTCTTATAAAATTAATCAAATAAAATTAAATTTTAAAAAATTCCATTAAACTTTACTATTAAAATGAAATTAATTTTAAAGGATGATGATGATGACGCATCTCAAATTATTTAAATAATTTCATCGACATATAAGCGATTTTAAATAATACCTTAAACCGAGTAATTATTTTAATTATTTAAAAATTACAAACGAATTATTTTCGTTATTTTAAACCAAAATAATCAAATAAAAGCCGATGTCATCACTTTAATTTATGTCAGTCCACTACGTGGCAGACGATACAATCCAAGATGGCGGCTTAATAAATTTTTTCATCGCGTACATCAACTCAAAATACTTCGACTGAATTAATTAAAGATGGGGTTGTGTAAATGCTCGAAGAAGAAAGTGACAAATCAGTTTTGCTTCGAGCACCGAGTCAATGTCTGCGAGTATTGTCTGGTGTCCGACCATCCGAAGGTAAATCAATTAATAACAAAATTGCATTGGTCTATTGATATTCAAATAAATAATTAATTGTTCGTTTCAACGAGATAGGAATTTTATATAATATTAAACAGTTAATTATTCAATTTATTATCACGTTAGGTAGAAGCTTCTATAGACCTGTATCTTAATGTGATTAGAAATGATGCTGTATCTTAATGTGATTAGAACTTATGATAATGAATCATATACAAGTTGTAGAAAACACATGTAATATGGAAGATCCACACCCACATTTCTGCTTCACATCATCATTATAATGATGATGCTTCACATCATCATTATAATGATGATGCTTCACATCATCATACTTGTGGGTGTGAACTTCCATACTCTTATATTTTAATAATTACATATGTTACTAAAGCTTATATGTTTCTAAAGTTATATTTAATGGTAAGTGATTCATTAAATCTGATTAAACTGGTGTGTGTGTGTGGAATTGTTGAGAGCTTGTATGGGACCTGGGAGTAAGGAGCAGGCCTCGTTTGCCATTTTTATTCTTTTTTAATAAATAGAATACGTTGAATGTTTCTTTATTAGCGAAGAGCAGTTTTAAAGATTTACTTTCTGTTAAAAAATAATCCAAATGTTACTTTTACTAAGGATAGGAACCACTTTACCCTTCTAATTTCTCTCTGGGTCTGGGAGCAAATTCCCAGTTTTCAGAGAGAACTTGTTTGTGTTTGTGTGTATATGTGTACACATTGACTCCAGGGTTGTTCCCAGGTTATTTGCTGTCCAGGTTAAAAACAATATTGCTGTCATTATTAATTTAATATTATTTAATTAAGAATTTGCTATGCAGTGTTTACTTTCATATCTATATACATATAGTTTTAAAGAGCTAGTAATCAAAAAAGTTTTGATTTTATATTTTTATTGGTCAAAGTTTTTACTTATAATAAATGGTCTGTGGCTGCCCTTGGATTTGACTGTCTGTGTGCAGAAGCATCTTTTGCACCCGGCCGGGAACAGTTCTGACTGACTTGTTATTAAATGTCAATCGTAAGGATTTTATAATGTAAGTTTTATATAAATGGTTTTTAATACTTATATTTTTTGATCATTTGTTTTGTTAAAACAAATATTTGTATTGAAATTCAATAGAAACAGATTTTTGCCATTAAATCAATATAATTCAGTAAATAAAATCAGTTTTGTAAAACTGCAGCTCCAAGGCAAAGACATTTAACAAATGTTGTATGACTTAAAAAAATATTAAGGAATTGTTTGTTTTTTAAAACACCATGAAGTGTTGATATTAGACACTAGACTTTTTCACATTCACTTTATTCTCCTATGTACTTTTTCCTCTGTAAAGCACATAGGAGAATAAAGTGAATGTGAAAAAGTCTGGTGTCTAATATCAACACTTCATGGTGTTTTTAAAAAACAGTCTAAAAAAGAGTCAACATAAAGAAGAGATTAAAGAATTGTGTGAAAGTTTCAATGGCTTCAATATAACGATCTTTTCACAGTATAGCTGCAGGGCTGTAATTAGGGATTTTCTTTATGTATAAATCAGTATTATATTGTATGCATACAAACTAAATTGTATGAAATGCAAATAGCATGTGTTTCTTTGCTCTGTTTACTGTGATCCATTTTGCTTATTATAAGCAGCTATTCCTTTTTATATAAAAACGATTGAGTTAATAATTTGGATAAGTGAATATATCACATCTTGTAACAAAGCATAATCAGCATTTAGTAAAGTTTGTGTAATGAGCCTTAGAAGCTTCAGAATTTTATAGCTTTGAAATGCTAAAGATTTTTAAATCTTCTAATCCGAATACCGGTATTCTTATAAAAATCGTACTTACTCAACCTTTATTGTCCGGTACTTGTAAATTATTTGTAAAACAAACGTTTTCGGCCTCAGTCGAGGTCTGCTTCAGGTTAAATTATTGGATTTCATTCTTCGAATGCACGTTTAGTTTTAAATATAATCGAATTTCTTGCGCGTGTTACGTATCGTCATCGTTTTTGTTGTTCTTCGCATACGTAACGCCAAGCATAAGAGAGCGTGTTTCCGTCTTTGTTGTTTATACATCTCCCTGTCCTGCCTGCTTTGTAGATTTCTAGGGCTTCAAGTGCTCTGATGTGATCCGTATGAAAAGCTCTATTTATTAATCTGGCTTTTGATACACCACTGCACTATCCACCTACGCAACCGACCCGGATATTCACGCGGAACTATCAAAAGCCAGATTAATAAATAGAGCTTTTCATACGGATCACATCAGAGCACTTGAAGCCCTAGAAATCTACAAAGCAGGCAGGACAGGGAGATGTATACAACAAAGACGGAAACACGCTCTCTTATGCTTGGCGTTACGTATGCGAAGAACAACAAAAACGATGACGATACGTAACACGCGCAAGAAATTCGATTATATTTAAAACTAAACGTGCATTCGAAGAATGAAATCCAATAATTTAACCTGAAGCAGACCTCGACTGAGGCCGAAAACGTTTGTTTTACAAATAATTTACAAGTACCGGACAATAAAGGTTGAGTAAGTACGATTGCTAAAGATTTTATTTATTATTTTGGAAATTCTATTTATATGATTATAGTCTTTTGTCTATAAGAAAAAGAACTATCTGTATTCAACTTCAGTTCCAAATTTGAGAGAAAGCCCAAAACACTTCTCATGATTTTTATTCCTAGATTATTTTAAATCAAGAAATACCAAGAAATTCATTGAATAATTACAGTTTAATGAATAAAATACAAAAAATAAAATCTTTACCAAACTTACCATATATTCTGAGAGTTTATGATTGCAGTTTAAAATTTGTGCCCCATTCATCTCCATTTCATAACCTACATACCCTTTCAAACCATCTTTTAAACTCAAAAAACTTGCTGGTTATAAACACAAAAATATGATATATACTTAAGTTGCCAACCAAAGAAAATATCTCTGGGGGACATACTAGTAAAAAAATGGGAGATTTTATATGAAAATGCAGGACTTTCATATGAAACAATTTATTTCTTAAACATATATTTACTTTGAGATTGTACTTCAGAAAGAAGCTTTTTGTTTCTTAAGCACTGTTGTATGCAATTTTTGACAGGATTCTTTTGAATTTAACTTAATATCAATTTGCTATTTATTAATTTCACAGAACACCTATTTCAGTTCATAAGAGAGAACTCTTTCTACAAAAGCATTCATACAAAAGTATTCCAGCTACAAAAGTAGCTGGAATACTCAGGCAAAATGACAAATGTTTGATTTAAGTTTGGCAGTGGTTTACTACAAATCAAAATTACATAGAAAAATTAATTTTTTAGTCCATGTTGGTAAGATTATTTGTTGAATACTTCTTTGCATTATGCTTTTCATATAAAATGAGTTGACATATCAGTAAATTACAGTATGCATGAATTTTGAGTCTTGCGATCTTTATTTTCAGATCATTTTACATGTCTGTAAATTGGCTGAAAATGTTTGTTCTGTGATTAAAGTCATCGCTAGAAAAGTCTTTTTGGTTTTATCATGAAATCTTGAGTTATTTATCAAAACAGAATGTTTTCTGAGTTGGCTACTTTTGGGCTACTTTTTAAAAAATTTTTGGTTAGAATATCTTGCAATACTGATTCTGTATACAAGTAGCAGCATGAATCGTTATGTGGTCTGTGACTGATGTAAGCTAACTTTGCTTGTCAATCTATCACATATTCATGTGGTCCACACTACACTTATATATATTTCATTTTCAATAAATATGTTTTTATAAATTTCTTTAATAGTATTATTTAAAAATATTTTGCAGGATTTCACGTATCTTCCCATGTTGTGGGATTGTTCAAAAATGCATGATTGTCACAATGCGGGATAGTTGGCAACCGTATATATATTTCAATACAGTAATATCCTGAACTTATGTGATAGTTGGGACCGAGCAATCACGTAAGTTGAATTCGTGTAAGTCAGGGTATAATTTCACATATAAATACATATGAATAATTTTTAATTGGGGCCAGAGACTAAGAAAACAATAATTTAGAAAAAAATGTTTAATAAAATCTTAGATAATACATATGTATAACAAATTATATTATTATACAATTTTTCACATTTACTTGATTATCACACCATAATTTTAACATTGTTTCCATCTCAGCGATAATACCGTGACGTTTACGAATGATGCTCGAATTTAAAGATTGAGCATTTTTCGCAGCTTCGAGAATTTTTTCTTT